GCAAGGGATGGAATGCCATTGGACTAGGGTGCTAGTAGGTTGGAGGCCATCGCTCTTAGGTTGGAGGCCATCGCTAGTTGGAGGCCATCGCTAGTAGGTTGGAATGCTATTGGACTAGAAGAATATGTTCGAGTCATCTTGAGTCCATGCAGTTTTTCCGTGCGTCACGTCGGCTCTACGTCACTCCCTTTTTGCTATTGAGGTGGGCCTTCCTAAGGAAGCCCCGCGCTTACCTCGTCGGAAGCCTTCAGAATCTCCTTTCACTCTTCAAGAGGTCGGCTGTGAGCCATGTCCGTTTGTGGAACGCCACTGGGCACCGGACTGGGCTTTGAGGTTTGGGAGTCAATTTGGCTGTGGAATGCAGGTGGAGTGGAATGTCGAATGTCTAGCTAGAGTCTAGGCGTTTGATGGATCAATTTAGACCGTTTGCCGTGCTTTTTCACCCTGAATGCTTCAACTTCCCTTTTTGATGGCTTGGTGCGGTCTGCTAGATCAGAACCTCCTGTAATCATGGTAATCATGTAATCAGAACACCCTGTAGTCTGTGAGGTTGTGCAATGACCATGCGGGGCCCCCATGTATTGAGTGTCAATAGAATGTGTCAGTTCAGCACTCTTATTCGGAGTAAATGCTGAGAAGACTAGGACTAGATTCTTGCTTTCCGCTGTATTATCTGTACTGATACATGCATTCCGGAGTCATGTTGTGCAGAGTACACACTTTGCTTTTGGTGCAGATTCCTGACATGAGCTTGCCGAGGGCGCAGGACCGGCCCTTGAAACAACTCTTTCACGACTCAATCGCACATCTTAGCTATGATTATGAGGCTATGAGCCATGTGCAACTCCCAAATCACCGTGCTTTGGGACGCAGATTGATCAATCATTCTTGTTCAATCATCCGAACCTTCAGACAGACTACTGTAGCAAATTGTTTTCTCATTCACAGCGTCTTCTGATTCTCCAACAAGCCAAGAGCTTTGACGAGCTGCACACTTCAAGTACAAAGCCACGACGGCTCCCCAGTAGCGATGCCAGGAGCCGCTAATAGCGTCCTTGCTCCTAGTAGCGATGCCCTTTGCTCCTAGTAG